TTGCCACATTTATTAACTCCCATTAATATTATTTTTATTATTTCGTATCTTTATCATCATCATTCCTTCATATCATTATCTTAACAAACATCAATGTTGTTGCTGCTTATTGCAAAATGAATAATAACATTATAATCATTATCATGATCATAATCTTCATGGTCATTAATATTATGTTTTTTACTGCACTAGATGTCCTTATCATTTAATCATTGTTGTTACTATCATGTTCATTGTTTGAGTGTGCGAAACTTTCATCTATTAATAACACAAGCATCGTTTATCTCATAACAATGGACACTACCTCATGACTGCAGTGCATTAACTTGATCACATCTTTATTGCATTAAGACATGCTATAGATAAAAAATTTAATTACCAACACATTTACTGAACGCATTAAAGGTTAGCTGGCTGAACACTTCTGGACACGTTTACCTTTATTAATGCTGTGACTACTTCTGGACATGTTTACCTTTATTAATGCTGTGACTACTACTACTACTACTACTACTACTACTACTACTACTACTACTACTACTACTACTACTACTACTACTACTACTACTACTACCACCACCACCACCACCACCACCACCACTAGTTCTAGTTTTAGTTTTTGCTTTAGTTCTAGTTCTAGTTCTAGTTCTAGTACTAGTTCTAGTACTAGTTTTAGTACTAGTACTAGTACTTGTACTACTGCTACTACTACTATCAACTGCTGTTGTTTTGTTTAAGTTGTATCATTATTTTCCTTTCTTTTTTAAGGTCTCTGGATCAGACCTTCCAGTTTCCTGCTTTTAGTTGTTTGCCACTGCATAATTTTTTATTATTTTTTCAGTCAAAAGAAACGAAACATGCTGTGGTATAGCATTTTCAAAATAATGTTCACTTGATATAGTATATTCCAAGATAAGGTACCAATGGAAACTGAATAGGTCTAAAAATAATAAACTTATGACCCAAATATATATATGATGCTCTTGTGCCAGATATGAACAGACGAAATGCCACGTATACCTTTTATTTCTTCCGTCATATGTAAAACAAAGCCGAACACAAATAATCTACAAATAATTTTTTACAGAACAATTTTGTACAGTTGGAATCATTGCATTTTAAGATCATAGCAACATGGATGATTGAGGACACATTTATAATAATAAATTAATGGTTACAAAGTCAAATAAATGTGTTAGATATTATAGGTCATATAGCATTATAGAAGGGTGTAATAGTGAAAAGAGTAAAGAGGCAGTTCAGGAAGGTAGGATAAATAGATCAAAATGTCTAAGGAAGAAGTGTAGGATTTTGCAAGAATGTATATAGGGTAAAGCAGGAATTAACAAAGGAGAAAGGGATTTAAGTGCAATTGTATCACAGTTTCAGGGAGAGAATCCAGGTAAGGGGGTTGTTGTGACAGTCACAGAAAAGATAATGGGGAAGGAGGGAGTAGGAAGGAGTGTAGGGGGAACATGAGTAGGAGGAGGATGGATGTCAGCAGTTACTTTGAGTGTAGATGGAATAGGAGCAGAGAGATTGGAGGAGGAGGAGGTGTAGGCATGTTATCTTGGGACGAATGTCTCCTAGAGATTCTCATGTGGAGTCAGTTAAGGAAATCTGAGAAACAACGGTTTTCTTATGAGAGGGAGAAGAAGGGACAGATGTTTGAGGGCTGGAGGGAGAGGTTGATGGAGGAGAGGATGGGACAGAAAATGGGGTGGAGCATTTAGTTTGTCCTGTACAATGAGTTGGGTGAGGAGGAAGAGGGGAAGGTACTGGGGAAGTAGTGACTGGAGTGTCTGGGATGATGGTGGAGATTGGGGTGTATGGATTTGAAATGGCAAACAAATTTGATTGAGAGAGGAGAGGGGTAGAAGTTGGATGAGGAAGGGATGCAGGGGGTGATGCAGAAATATCTTTGGAAGAAAGGGGAGGGGTAAGTGAAGGACAGTATTGGAATAGGGAGTGAGAGAAAAAACCTTGTAGGTGTGCTTCCTGTCTGGCTTCTTGTACAGTGAAGCCAAAGTTGAATCTGAGAATTACTGCTTCAGACTCAATCTTGTAGGTAGGTCAGCCCCTATAAAATATGTTATGGGAGCCACCACAATTGGCACACATACAGAGCAGAACAATATGAATAGTCATGACCAGGCAGGGTACACAAAGGGCATCGGGCTAAGGAGCAACAGTGCTTGGGGGAGGTCATGTCTGTTGAAGTTAATTTTGGCTACATTGGTGTAAGACTTAAGCTAGCATCTGTGAGGAATAGTGTTCCCCTGTGCTGCCACTGCATCCCTGTAAACAAGGCAGGCAAGCAGGTCTAACCAGTCCTTGTCATAAATAAGAATCAGTCAAGGAGATGAAAACAGTTCTGGTACAAGAGAAAGTGAGGTTCAACAGGAATACAGTTTGCCAGTGAAGTTAATCAGGGTTCGTGTACACAAACTTGGGAGTAAGATATAATGAGTAATGACATGAGTGGATGGTTCAGAAAGCATAAAGGTATCAGTTAATATCAAGGAGGGAGTGTTAGCATCAGTGGTTGGAGTATTAGTCAAAGGAAAGGCAGGGGTCAGAAAGCCAGTGACAATTTGAAAAAAACATAGCAACAACTACTTCAAAATTCTTAGATATTTCACATAATAATAGCATAAGAA